CCCCCATTTCACACCACTCTTCTGTATTCATCCTTCTTCACATGCCTTTCTTTTTTTTCCTTTAAAAAAAGTCTCTTAAAATTCTGAACTTATCATAGTATGCCTTACACAACTACATTGGATTCTTAAGATGCCACTTACCCGATTACCTTTTTTCATAGTGTCAGAAGTTCACTTTTTAGAAACTGTCTCTCTCTTGGAAAAGATCCTATTGCAATATAATTTCTGTTATATTATCATACAACAGTTTTCTTTCAATTTGACTCACTTCCCTAACACATCACTTTTTCTAGTATTCATTTTTATAACTATTATGAATTCCAAGCTAGCATGATTGGTTTCTCTCATGGGTTTCCTTCCCACTTCACTATTTTACGGTTATATGTCAGAACCAATTCCAAAAGAGTCAATTCTTTTATTACGTTTTGTTGTTGTTGTTAATCCTTACCCGAGGATATATTTTCCATTGATTTTTAGAGAAAGTGGAAGGGAGGGAAGGAAGGAGGGGTGAGAGAGAGAGAGAGAGAGAGAGAGAGAGAGAGAGAGAGAAACTATGTAAGAGAGGCATTGATTGGTAGCCTCCTGCTGCACCCTGACCAGGCCAGGGAACAAACCTGCAACACAGGAACATGCCCTTGACCTGGAATCGAATCCATGACCCTCCAGTGCACGGGCCGATGTTCTAACCACTGAGAAACACTGGCCAGGGCTCATTACTTTTTAAAAGCTAATGTAAGATGTAATGTTTCACATGCCATGGACTTATATTATGGTTTCCTAGGGAAGATTCTAGCTAGTTCCTTGATAGTTGGAGGTCTCTGTTGTTGGACCACTGATTTGTCACTGTGGAAAATAATAAAGTGTTCATTAATTTACCATGTTTAATTGAATCAAACTGATATTAGGGATCAAACACAGTGGTGAAGAAAATAAGCATAGTCCCTATTCCTACAAACCTTACAGTCTAATCAAATGAATTAATATATTTTATCCAACAAGGTGGCCCCTAATATACTTCCAGAAAGGAATCACACAGCCAAGAGATGGTGGTGTGTTGGAGACAATATTGTTTCAGGATTTGAGAACTGAGCTGTAGTCCTAATTCTGCCACTGTGTTCATCCGGATGCCAATTTACTTATTGTAAAATCATGGAGTTGGATTGGATGGGCACATAGGCTTCTTAAGGTTCTATGATTTTTACATATTAATGCTTGCATTAATCTACAGTTCAATTATCTTTAGGTTTTCTAGCTCCTGTTGGAATGGTAAGTAAGAGTGCACATAAGGTTAAAGGAAGTAGAGTCATGGTAGGATAGAGGCACAAATTTTTTATTCACCCAGGCAATCTTACAAGATGTTTTAGGTTGTAGCTAAACTATTATTTCCAGCATTAGATTTAATTTTACTAGAATAAAATGGATACTTTATATTGTTTTAAGGTACCATATAGATAGGGATTATATTTATAGTTTAATGGAAAGATTGCTGGACTTGTAAGAATACTTGGATTTTAATCCCAACTTTGCCTCTATATAATTAAGTAAATTCTGAACTACTTTTTAAAATTTCTCTATATGTAATAATGTGGAATGTAATAATATGGAATATAACACCTTGAGAAATTAAAGAAATTAATACTTTTTTCCTGTCTACTACATAGAATTTGCATTAATATTTTTGAAAATACATTAGGGGAAAAGAATTTAAAATATTGTATTGCTGGGGTCCAATCCCAGCAGGTCCAGGGGTCCCCAAAGGTGTGGACGGAGTCGGCGAAGAAGGAATGACACGAAGACAGCCTTCAGTTGGTCAGCAGCCTAGTCAGGACCTATAGCCAGGATCTCCAGCCAAAGTTCTGGTCGGAGTTCTGGTCAGGAACTGATGAGGATCTGACGTTTATTGTCTTATTACATCCGTATTTATACCAGCCGATTCCAATCCTGTCAATTTCTATTACAAGGGTTAAGGTGTTTCTCATCTCCATTCCAGGGAGTAAAGACCATGTAGCTTAATTACCCGCCTGGCACTTAATTAAGGGGTTGTATCCCCTCCCTAACCTCAGGGAAAGATCCCCACCTGGGGAAACAACCTTTCTCGGAGAGGTGACCTTGGTTAAAACACATGGCGCTAAAGGGAGCAAACATATTAAAAACAGTATGCTACATACGCCAGATCCACTGAAACACATGCTGTGCAGATGCCTCTTTCCTGCAGCGACTGCGTCAAGCAGCAAGGATGGACCGGCCTCCGGCATTGTATGGATAGAGATCTATAATTTTATTTATTATTTATTATTATTATTATTATTATTTAATATATTTTTATTGATTTCAGAGAGGAGGGAGAGGAGAGAGAGGTAGAA